AAAACAAAAGGCAAAAGAAACTACAAACCATAGGGACCAGAATTTTAATATCAAAACCATAAGTACTAAAATATCAATTTATAACAAACCACGGGTACTAAAAACATAATTTACTTTATTTTATATTTCATCGTTCCCGAAAAGTACAGTTCTTGGTGCAAAATGACGGAAAAAAGGACCTTTTAACCATATATAATTATATGTATATATTTATTTATGGCAACCATCAGTTTCATCAGGCGCATTTCCTGCTCATCGTCATTTCCATTTGCATGCGAATTTTCGTYAATCCAAATTCTGCAAATAACGAAAAAACCCTAGTAATTTCAAGAAGAAAAACTCCACAAACACAGTTCATGTTCATCCTTACGGGTAAGTTTTGATCATATGCTTTTACATTTTCTATTTCTTTTGAAAAATTGCCGTTTCATTGGAATTCATTCGCGCAATTCATATCTCATGGTTTTTTTTGTTCCTTTTTGGTTTTGGGGGAACGAAGATATTGATTTGATTGAAATGTATATTGTATTAGGTGTTTTTTTTTGACATTTTGTTGATTGATTTTTGAGTTCAGGATTGTGATTTGTGGAAGAAGCTCAAGGTGTTGTTACCGATGACATATTGGAATCTGAGGTAGTATGTATATGATGATTCAAGTTATTGGATGGGTTTAACTTGTGGTGTTTACGTAAATCAAGGATCCAAACGATTATTCAAGGACATTTTGGTTTTTATCTGAATCATTGTTCGAGAGCATTGCGTTTGGTTTTTTATAATTTGGTGGTTAGTGTCTGAGATTTCCACGGATATGGGAAAATTGATTGCTATTAGTTCTATTAATTTGGCGATTAACATCTGAGATTATATATTGGTATCGTAGAGTGTTCGGAATCTATTGATTTCGTCATTATYCGAAGTATTAATGGCTTGGTATGAGCAGCAGATGTTTCTAGGTTAGTGGAATGGAAGGAGAGGAGATGATAATTTGCGAAAGAGTCGTCAACATCAGAATCATGTTTGTGAGGTAGAAATAGAGTAATTGGTGAAACATTACATAGTGTATCTTCAGGTACTCCAAGGATGACAACGGTAGGCTCCTCCGGTCATAGACGCTGTAAAAGCGAGATCGTAACCTCGTTAAATACTCAAAATCAAAACAATGGTTTTCAAAGACTGAAGACTCAGATGCAAAAGGCTTTGAACTGGGGTGGCAACCAGGAACAAGCATTTTTCAATCCAGAGATTTTAGCTAATCAGAAACGCCAGTGGTATCAGTTTCACACAAAGTCGTCGGTAATATGTAACTTCATTTATCATATTTATCAGTAATTACTTGCTTTAATKGTTGCTTTACATAATGTTTGTCCCTTGACCTTATGTTAGTATTCTGCAAATGTGTTTGTTGATGGAATCTCTTACTGGGCAAACTTCATTGCACAATATGTGTTCTCTTCTTTTTGGGTGCATACTTTTAGCTAGAKAAATCTATAGTCTTACCGATCCTCATAAAGGACACTTGGTAGGTATTAAATACCACATGACCCACCTGAAATAATCTAAACACCAGATGCTTCTGCTTATGACCTTTATGAATTGGTCAGAGGATGTGACATTACTCTTTTAGCTAACATRTAGCTGCTAATTTATTCAGCATAAGATGTTGATAGTTTTGTCTTCTCTTGAACTTGTATGTTTTTTCGCAAGCGGCATTAATATCTTTGAAGTATTTCATGGCTTTAATACTACTATAAAAGGCTTGCAAACTATAACATGCCCTTCTTCTGCAACTCAGTTATTCTTTGATTTTAGTTGTACAAATGAAGGATAAGTTCTCGCTTCACAGTGGAAAGTATCTAGAAGCTTATATCTACCCATAGTGCCACCCACTCCATGGTCTTCCTTTGATACAGAAAGGTTAGCCAATTTTGAGGTAATATCARTATTTATTAGAGATGGTCTGTTTTGGTGATTGACGGGAGTATGCCAGCTTAAGTTACCACGTTCAATCTTCTTATCAGGTTTCAGGACGGAATCAACATGTCAAAGCTTTTTGTCTTCGACTCCTTTTCCCTTTATCGTTTACAGATTGCAAAAACGCCTTTAAGGCCTAAACACCTAGTAGCATCTAATATCCCAAACCAACAATGTACCACTTTGATCCATAACTAGGTTTCGAATTGTTAAGTGATTATCGGTTTGAGTGGATTATCAAAATTGGTTGTACATTCCCTCATTTTCATATAGAATAACCTGTAAGAAACGGAACTTTGTAAGAAAGGAACTTTGTCATATGGATGTTCCCATTTCCATTGGTACATATGTTGTCGTAGAAGACTATCATGGTAATGGTTATTCACTCTTGATTACTCTATTATACAGTTTTAGAAACTGATGTGTAGTCTATTAGATTGAAAGTTGTGATCCTCTTATCTCATCTTCTTTTTGGGTGAATAAATATTTAACTTGAATTGATGTTCTATTGTCAGCTTTTTAGACTATTAATGAAGGTTATATTGTAGAAAGTTTTCCTTCTGGTTGGCTCATTTCCTGGTGTATCTGTCAAGTGCATCTATTGTGGTCCGAGTTCCCTTTTGGTGCTTTTCATAATYTTAGTAGAGTAAACTACAAAATCATCCTTGAACTATTCTTCCAATCTGCAGGTGTTAACAACTATTTTGGCATTTTTTATCCTTCATGTTAAAGAAAGGCATTATGTGTGGCTTATTAGTCTCTGTAACTCAAGTGCAGATCATGTCTTCTTTTACTACACTTCAATGGACAAGTTTGTGTTTTCTTTTTCTTCTTCTTCCTCCCCAATATTTTACCCCTGATGCGTCATACAGCTTATGTGAAGATGGTGTGTGTAGGATATTACAAAGTATGAGGATCCATCCTCGCTTTTTGAACATTTCCTTGTTGCGGGTATCCATCCGAATGCTAACCTCGAGCCTGTGGAGGATGCATTTGCTAGAAGAAAGAATATGGATACCAAAGTGGATCCAACAGAACTGATGGATCCCCAAGCTGTGCAGTTTCAGTCACCTCCAACTCCAAATGTGATGATGGAACCCCAGGTCTACTGCCTAAATGATCTTTCACTGTCAAACTTTATCCATTTTTAATGTCCTACCATTGTAAGTACAGGATAATAATGTGTGTGTTCAGTTGCATCTTCCCCATTTTTATTTTGCATGTGTTATCAATTAAGAGTAATTTATGAACTATGGGATATTCTGTTTTATGATGTTTTTCATATAAGATGCTTCTCATGAAAGTAAGTTTGCAATTTTGGAATGAAGATTATTTTCTGCAATTTTCTTCATAAGCAAGTTTGCCTATAACTTAAAACGCTATATTTTTGGTTTCCGTTATTTATCAAGTGCTGATATTTTTTTACATTTTGTTTTATTTTTATCTTCTTATTACTTCCAGATACTTTTCAAGTACCCTCCAGGGAAGAAGTTATCTATGCGCTTAGAAGATTTAGCATCCTTTTGCTTTCCTGCTGGTGTGAAGGTGATGTATTACTAAAACTCCATGTCTTCATGATGGAAGTCAATGCTACCATTTCCATAAGCCATCTATCCCAACCCAGACATTGGTTTGATATCCCTTTATATCTCTCCCCTCCCTGTCTTCTTTTTYGATAATTTTATGCTAAAAGTTCATATGTATTTCATAAGAACAATGTTTTCTTCAATCAAAGGCTACGCTTATTTTGGCCCCCATTAGAGATAATGGTTTATTTACAGTCCGAATCATGCATATAACTATTTCTTTCTTTAACTGCGTGCTTCCTTCAGGCACATGTGCTAGAGAGGACACCATCATTAAGTGAGCTAAATCAACTTGTGTACGGACAGGTATGAGTGCATYGAAAATCATTTCCATTTTCTAATATGGACTTCTTTGTCTTTCATCGACCAAGTGCGTAGTGAAACTGCTTCTGCCCATTTGTTGAACAGCTCTGTTGCTATTAAGATGAAACATTTTCCCCTTGAGGCTGTTACCTGGGAGTAAAAAGCAGGGCCATGCTGAGCTAAATATAAATTTATGAATGGTTGAAAAGAAGTGGACCCAAGTTCCTATCTTTCTCAAGATTTGTGAATCCGTCTGATATATATCTGGGTGTTTGCTCTATGTTGTATGTGCAAAATAACACAAGTATACCCATCACAATCGTAGTAAAGTGTACAAAGTACAAGATCGTTCCACAAAGACTACATCAAGATGATAAGCCACCGATGTCAAAGGTTTATTCTAGAAAGCGATGATTTTTGGTAATTCTGGTAATTTTGGTAGTTTTGTTAATTTTGGTAAATTAGAAACAATAAATAGCGAGTAGAGAGGAGGGGAATGGGGAGGCGATTCTTGTGATCTTTTTTGTTTAGGAGAGATCTGGCTCTTGCATCCAGAATTATCTTCTTTCGTTCTTGTAATCGTTTTCAATTCAGTAATTCGAATACAAAACAGCCCATTGGTTCTATCAAATTGGTATYAGARCCTTCTATTCTGATTGACCATGGCACCGAAGACTCAAGGAGAACACATAGAGGTGCTGGAAGAATCCGTTCTAGCGATGAGAGCCGACGTGAAAGCGCTTTGCGATAGCAAGGCAGGCAACACCAAACGAATTGACTATCTAGACAAGGGAATTCAAGCAATTATGGGAAAACTGGATTCGCTATTCCAAGCGAAATCCGACAATTCCTCGTAATCCGGAGGGTCGTTTCAAGGTTCTAGTTCAGGAGGACTGGAGGAGGTCCATAATCGCAACCCAAAGGGGGTGTGAATTCCTCGTTTTTCGTCCACTCAGATACGAGAGGAACCGGCAAACCTGCAACTCCGAGATTCTCTCCAGAGGATTGGAGATTGCGACGTGTTGAATYACCCATGTTTATTGGGATGATCTAGATGGATGGATTTTTAGGACGGAATGTTATTTTGCCCTTCAGCGTTTAAGGAGAAAGAGAAGGTTGCCACTGCAGGGATTTGTATGGAAGGCGAGGCTCTAGCATGGTTTCATTGGGCCGATAGCAGACATTCGATTATGATTTGGGAGGATTTGAAATTGCAACCCATCAATAGATTCAGACTCACCGATGGTGGATCTGCCCTTRAACARCTTCTAGCTCTCCAACAAACAGGTACACTTCGTGAATTTCGCCATTCTTTTGAGACTCTTGCTTCCTCCTTATGGGACCTTCCCGAGAAAGTRTTGGAATGCAATTTCATGAATGGGCTCAAACCCTTCATTCAGGCCGAMKGCAGGCWACTGAGACCCAAGGGGATGGCCCAAATTGTGGAAGTAGTCCAATTGGAATATTGATATTCTCCCTATCAGGAGGTAATCGAAGTCACGGTAGGCCCTTTAAACCCRACCCTAATTTTTCGACTTCCGTAGTTCGCACTACTCCGACAACGATCAATAGTGCCATGGCTACGGGTGTTCCGGCGGCAGTGGGTAAAGGAATGGGAGCCT